TCTGCTGCTTCCCAGGTCCAGTAGTAGGAAGCTGGATCTGAAGCAGAGTAGCCAGGACTAGCACTAGGCACTCCCATGCAGGACGCCAGCATTGCAAGTGGTGGGTGGATTAGTCCACTGCCTGCCCTGAACTTCATTTTCACTGGGGTAGCAGTAGTAGTGGTTAGGAGTCTTACCGTAAAGAAGGGAAGACCCTGGCCAATTTTAGAAAAGGAATTCACTGGGCCGGCGCCATGGCTCACTTGGCTAATCCTCCACCTGCGGTGCTGGCAGCCCGGGTTCTAGTCCCGGATGGGGCACCGGATTCTGACCTGGTCGCTCCTCTTCCAGTCCAGCTCTCTGCTGTGGCCTGGGAAGGCAGTGGAGGATGGCCCAAGTGCTTGGGCCCTGCACCTGCATGGGAGACCAGGAGAAGCACCTGGCTCCTGGCTTCGGATCGCACAGCGCACCAGCTGCAGTGGCCATTTAGGGGGTGAACCAATGGAAAAGGAAAAGCTTTCTCTCTCTTTCTTTCTCTCTCTCTCTCTCTCACTGTCTAACTCTACCTGTCAAAAAATAAATAAATAAAAGAAAAGGAATTCACTGAAAAGGAACTAAAAGGCTCACAGAACAGCCAGGAGGGCTGATGAATCAGGACAGAAAACCACGTAACCACAAGGTGAGGGTGGGCAGTGGGCAACACAGGAAAATTATCTCCAAAAGTAGCACGGAGGGGCCTGGCTGCAGCCCCCGGGGTGGATTCCAGCTGGTCTTACTCCAGATCACCTGGAGTCCCCACCGTGGCGCCCAGGGCAGTGTGTCTAATGGATCCTTCCAGCCAACAGTGGCCATGTAGGAAGAGGCTGCCAAGACAGGGTGTCAGACACTTGGTGTCCAGCTGTCCCTGAAGTCTCCACGTGTGACTGCAGTCTCCACGTGTGACTGCAGTGGCTCAGGCCAGGTGTTGCTCGATGACCTCTGGAGCCATTTATTCACTCTGTAGACAATGAAGAGAGGAAGGAAGAAAATATAGCTGTGGGTCACTTCTCCATGCTCATATGCTTTCTGTTCAAACACTAAACGTCATGACATTTAAAAATATGATGCAGGCACCGCGGCTCACTAGGCTAATCCTCCGCCTTGCAGCACCGGCACACCGGGTTCTAGTCCCAGTTCGGGACGCAGGATTCTGTCCCGGTTGCCCCTCTTCCAGGCCAGCTCTCTGCTGTGGCCTGGGGGGGCAGTGGAGGATGGCCCCATGGGAGACCAGGAGAAGCACCTGGCTCCTGCCATCGGATCAGTGCGGTGCGCCGGCCGCAGCGCGCCGACCATGGCGGCCATTGGAGGGTGAACCAACGGCAAAGGAAGACCTTTCTCTCTGTCTCTCTCACTGTCCACTCTGCCTGTCAAAAAATAAAAAAATAAAAAAAAATGACTTCTTGGGGCTGGTGCTAGGGCACAGCGAGTTAAAGCCCCAACCTGCAGCATTGGCATCCCATATGGGTACTGATTGGAGTTCTGGCGGCTCCACTTCTGATCCAGCTCTCTGCTATGGCCTGGGAAAGCAGTGGAAGATGGCCCAAGTGCTTGGGCCCCTGCACCGCATGGGAGACCCGGAAGAAGCTCCTGGCTCCTGGCTTCGGATCAGCTGTGCTATGGCCGTTGCGATCGTTTGGGGAGTGAACCAGTGGATGGAAGGGCTTTCTCTCTCTCTGGCTCTACCTCTCTCTGTAACTTTCTTCCAAATCAATAAAATAAATCTTTAAAAATAAAAATTATAAAAAATATGACTTCTTACAGAATTAAGGAAGAATTTATTCAAAATAAAAGCAGTTGATCACCTATTGCAGTGGTAACGTGTTCTGTTAGAGGAAGCCAGGGAACTTATTGTGAGGAAGCATATTTTTCACTGCGAGCACCTTCCTCACTGGGGTTATGACTCATGCACATTCTTGGCAACCAGATTCCAGTTCAGACGAATATTTAGTTTAATTTCTTTCAAAACTCTAAGCGCTGAGCAAGGAAAAGAGAGAAAAAGCAACTGAGTAGGCATGCACTGTACGTGGAAGACTTCAAAGCCAAGAAAGCACATGGTCACTCCGGTACATAGAGGCACCGTCTCGCTCAGGGCAGTCTCGCGGATCAGCTGTCATCTGAGGCTACGGAAAGGAGACAAACAAGGTAGCAGTTAGAGCCAGCTTTAATTGGCATTAGTTCAAGACTATTGCCTTGTGGAACCGGAAATAATCACCAGATTGTTCCTGAGACTAGTACAAGCCTCAAGCAGTGATACAAAAACATTGAGATGTCCCCATTTGTGTAAACAGTTGTGACTGGCATTTTACATTTTGATGGCTCTCTTTAACTTCTTTTTTTTTTTTAATTTTTTTATTTTTTTGACAGGCAGAGTGGACAGTGAGAGAGAGAGACAGAGAGAAAGGTCTTCCTTTGCCGTTGGTTCACCCTCCAATGGCCGCTGCGGCCGGCGCACCGCGCTGATCCGATGGCAGGAGCCAGAAGCCAGGTGCTTTTCCTGGTCTCCCATGGGGTGCAGGGCCCAAGCACCTGGGCCATCCTCCACTGCACTCCCTGGCCACAGCAGAGAGCTGGCCTGGAAGAGAGGCAACCGGGACAGAATCCGGCGCCCCGACCGGGACTAGAACCCGGTGTGCCGGCGCCGCTAGGCGGAGGATTAGCCTAGTGAGCCGCGGTGCCGGCCCTCTCTTTAACTTCTAAACCAGAGGTTTGGGATCCTGGCTGTACATTAGAATGCCCTGGGGAGTAGGGGTGGGGAGGTGACACTGTAGCATACAGGGTAAATCCACTGCCTGTGGTGCCGCCATTCCATATGGGTGCAAGTTCGAGTCCCAGCTGCTCCACTGCTGACCCAGCTCTCTGCTATGGCCTGGGAAAGTAGTAGAAGATGGCCCAAGTGCTTGGGCCCTGCACCTTTGTGGGAGACCTGGAAGACGCTCCTGGTTCCCGGCTCCTGGCTCCTGGCTTCAGATCAGCCCAGCTCCGGCCGTTGTGGCCATTTGGGGAGTGAACCAGCAGATGGAAGCCACCTCTCTCTCTGTCTCTCCCTCTCTCCGTCTGTAACTTTGCTTTTCAAATAAATAAATATTAAATAAATGTTTTTAAAAAATCACCTGGGCAACTTAAAACAGCAACACAAAACAAGTAAGAACAATCTCTTAGCAGCTTCCAGAGCTCCCAGGTAATTCTGATGTGCACAGCCAGGATTGGGACCCCTGATTTAGGAAAGTCCAGCTGTGCAGTTCAAGCAGTCAGGCAATTTCTGTGTAAGATCACCAGTGCCTTGGATGACTCCTCTTTGTTATTTATACAGTTCTAAGATTTTTTTTTTTTTTTTGACAGGCAGAGTTAGACACAGAGAGAGAGACAGAGAGAAAGGACTTCCTTTTCCGTTGGTTCACCCCCCAAATGGCCGTAATGGCCAGCGCGCTGTGCCGATCCAAAGCCAGGAGCCAGGTGCTTCCTCCTGGTCTCCCATGCTGGTGCAGGGCCCAAGGACCTGGGCCATCCTCCACTGCCTTCCCGGGCCACAGCAGAGAGCTGTACTGGAAGAGGAGCAACCGGGACAGAATCCGGTGCCCCGACCGGGACTAGAACCCGGGGTACTGGTGCCTCACCAAGTGAGCCACAGCATCAGCCGAGTTCTAAGATTTTTTTAAGGCTTAATTAGTCATTTTACTTGATGTATATTACTGGGCAGGATAACATGCCTCTAAGTTTTTGTAGTTTTCGTTTTTACAAGTTTGAATTTTAATTGCCTGTTTGAAAGGAAATCAGGGGCCGGTGTTGTGATGAAGTCAGGTAAGCCACCACCTGCAATGCAGGCATCCCGTATCTTGGCTTCTGATCCAGCTCCCTGCTAATGTAACTGGAAAGGCAGCAGAATGTGATCCAAGTGCTTGGGCCTCTGCAACCCACATGGGAGACCCAGACAGAGCACTTGGCTCCTGACTTTGAAGAGTGAACTGGTAGATGGAAGATCTCTCTCTCTCTTTCTCTTGCTCTCTGTAATTCTGCCTTTCAAATAAATAAATAAATCTTTAAGAAATTAAAAAGTGCCGGCGCTGTGGTGTAGCAGGTAAAGCCACCACCTGCAGTGCCAGCATCCCATACGGGAGCTAGTTCAAGTCCCGGCTGCCCCACTTCAGATCCAGCTCTCTGCTATGGCCTGGGAAAGCAGTAGAAGATGGCTCAACTCCTTGGGCCTCTACACCCATGTGGGAGACCCAGAGGAAGCTCCTGGCTCCTGGCTTCAGATCAGTGCAGCTCTGGCCGTTGCAGCCAATTGGGGAGTGAACCAGTGGATGGAAGCTCGCTCGCTCTGTCTCTCTCTCTCTCCTTCTCCTTCTCTCTCTGTGTAACTCTTTCAAATAAATAAAATATTTTTATTTATTTATTTATTTTTTAACAGGCAGATTTAGACAGAGAGAGAAACAGAGAGAAAGGTCTTCCTTTCTGTTGGTTCACCCCCCAAATGGCCGCTTCGGCCGGTGCACTGCAGCCGGCGCGTTGCGTTGATCCGAACCCAGGAGCCAGGTGCTTCTCCTGGTCTCCCATGCGGGTGCAGGGCCCAAGCACCTGGGCCATCCTCCACTGCCTTCCTGGGCCACAGAAGAGGGCTGGCCCGGAAGAGGAGCAACCAGGACAGAATCCAGCACCCCAACCGGGACTAGAACCCGGTGTGCCAGCGCTGCAGGCGGAGGATTAGCCAAGTGAGCCATGGCACCAGCCCAAATAAATAAAATCTTTAAAAAAAAAAGAAATAAAATAAAAATAATTAAGCCTTGAACATTTAAAATGGAAATATTTTTCTTCGTGCTCTCTAGACTTTAAACAACGTCTTATTTTTAACTCAGCTTAATTGTTGTTTGTCTGCTAAAGTGCAAGGGTATGTAACCATAAATTCGTAAGTTACACGGAGGGCATGAATTGGGTGTAACTGGGCAGCACAGGGGACGCTACAGTGGATTATTTCTGTTCTCCAGGACAAAGGGAATGACTGTAGCCGGCACTTCCTGCTCTGTGCAGCAATGGTCTCCGACGCCTCCAGTGCGTGGAATGTTCCAGCCGGCCTGAGACCACAGAGCTGCCGCTCGAGGCAGACACCTGTTCCGAGAGTTCTGTGGGCTCTGCAACGATTACCAGCTTCCAGAAGGAAAAGAACGGCTCACAGAGGGGACTTGACCACTACTAGCTTCAGTAGTGAGTGCACTTCAGGGTCCCCATAAGGTCAGCTCTAGAGACGATATTGTATTGGTAGGTCTGGGGTGGGGGGCACAGTTAACCTGTGGAGAGATCATTGAGACACGCCCGCCTCTGGGCAGGGCAAGGGCTTTCCAGTAAAAGACTGAGTATAGTTAGGAGCTGAATTCATGACCATAAAGAAGGATTTTTTGTGAGGGATGTTGCACATGATGGGGTTTCCTCTCCGTCTTTGTGTCTTCAATCATTGTGAATCTCCAGTACCTTCCTGGAAACTATTTCTCAGACCCCTTTGCCTCCAGGGTTCTCAAATTCATATCCCGCTGAAGACAGGCACTCACATATTATTTGAAAAGCAAAGGGACACAGAAGCCATAAACACCCCGCTGTGGGATTCCCCCACCCGCTGCCGCTGTCTGATCTGCACGGAGCTTCTCAGCCAGGAAACAGGGAGTAACAAGGCCCCGAGTCTCTGTCCCACAACCACCATGATGAGCATGGAAGCTAATCTCTGCCTCCCTGGTTTTTGGTCCCTGAAACCTTCCAGCAGGTTTAAAAGCGTCTGATTCCAAAATTAAATCTCTCTATGCTTAAGCTATCTAGGATGGCTTCTATTTTTCCAATTGTATACAAACTAGTAAAATATTTAGTGGCGGAAGTGGCTCCAGGAAACCAAATGAAAGGTGTCTATGCCCATAGTAGCCAAGGGTGATTAACTTACAAACACCAGAATTTGTTGCTCACAATTCTGGAAGGGAGGTTTCCAGATCAAGGAGACAGCTGATTCAGCGTCCGTTTGGGGCTCATTCCTCATAGGTCGTAGCTTCTATGTGTCCTTGCATGGCACAAAGACAAAAAATGGACAAACAAGCTCTCTCAGGCCTCTTAAGTAAAGGCATGATCCAATTCACAAGGCCACCCTCATGAGCTAGTCACCTCCCACGGACCCCAGCTTAGAATACCAACACACCAGGCATGAGATCCCCACAGGTGACCTTTGGAGGTCACATTCAGATCACAGCAGAGGGTCTCTGGACATGTCTGAAGGCAGTGAAGTCCTCATCTTGGTGGAAATGGGGTCCTGGAGGGGGCAGAGCATGCAATGACCCCACAGGTGACCTCAGAAAGAGAGCAGCGCGTGGTGGACAAAGGTGGTTGCTGGAAGAGACACAGTGGCAGCAGCTGCACTTGTGAGGGCTGGGGCAGGAGCCTGCCTACTCAACCTGCATGGAAAGCTTACAAGAAGAAATCTCATCCCCAGGGCAGAGATTTCTTTATTTGAAGGGTAGAGTTGCAGAGAGGGGAAGGCAGAGAGAGAGAGAATCTTCCATCCGCTGGTTCACTCCCCAAATGGCTGCAGAGGCCCCGGGCTGGGTCAGGCCAAAGCCAGGAGCCAGGAACTTCATGGGAGTCTCCCACAGGGGAGCCTGGGCCCAAGCACTTGGGCCATCCTCCACTGCTTTCCTAGGCTTAGGGAGCTGGGTCAGAATTAGAGCAGCTGGGACACAAACCGGTGCCCATCTGGGATGCCTGTACTGCAGGCTGTGGCTTAACTCGTGTACCCCATTGCTGGCACCAGGGCTTCTCATTTTCAACTCAAGGCCTCGTCACAAAATAGAGATCTTCAACAACTGCCCTGAATGCACACCTTGTTTCTTGTAGTTACAGGACTAACACCACCTCCCCGAAAAGTCCTGAAGATTGAACCTGTGGATTACAGAATTACAACATGCCTGTACCCCGAATCCACAGTCTGTCCCGTACATTTCAGAGATTCGATGGAGAAACGAGGAGGGGAGGATTCTGTGACTTGGAATGGAGTCATCTGGATGGATGTATCTGGAACCTCTTAACATAGGCGGGTACTTTAAAAAGTTTGTGGAGGAGCTGGCATTTGGTGCAGCTTTTAAGACACCTGCATCCCATTTCAGATGTGCCTGGGCTTCAGCTCCCTTCTAATGTGCATCCGGGAAAGCAGCAGGTGATGGCTCAAGTACCTGGGTCCCTGCCACCCATGTGGGAGACCTGCACTGAGTTCTGGCTTTGGCTGGCCCAGACCTGGCTGTTGCAGACATTTGGGGAGTGAACCAGAAGGTGGAAGATCTCTCTCTCTCTGTCTCTCTCTCTCTCTCCATCTTTCTCTCACTCTCTGCCTTTCAGATACATTTTTTTAAATAAATAAAAAAAACTTTTAAAGAAAGTCTGTGGATAAAGGGAATGAAGAGATATTTATTTTGGTAAAAACATTTAATGTCATGAATATTTTCATATGAATTTCCTTTGGATTTCTTGTCAGAAGGAGTAGCTCTCCTATCTAGTCTGAGATGTGTGCCCCATGTTTTTTAAGATTTATTTATTTATTTGAAAGGTAGAGTTACAGAGATGCAGAGGCAGAGAGAGAGAGAGAGAGAGAGAGAGAGGTTTTTCATCTGCTGGTTCACTCCCAGATGGCCTCGATGGCTGGAGCTGGGCTGATCTGAAGCCAGGAGCCAGGAGCTTCTTCCAGGTCTCCCACATGGGTGCAGGGGCCCAAGGACTTGGGCCATCCTCCACTGCTTTCCCAGGCCACAGCAGAGAGCTGGATCAGAAGTGGAGCAGCTGGGACTCAAATTGGCACCCATGTGGGATACCGGCACTGCAGGCAGCGGCTTTACCTGCTGCATCACAGTGCCAGCCTCAGTGCCCCATTCTTGAAGCCCCCAAGGAATCTCTTCCCAGGCTGAAGCATTTGAAGGGGATACTTATTCTCCAGGCTGTCATCGCCGTCAGCAGTCCTCAGGAGCCAGGTTCAACTCTGATCCATGGACAGGAAGAGAGCTGCACACCAAGGGGGCCTGGGAGATGTCGGTGGGAAACTGGAACCATTTACAACCTTCCAGGTCCTTTCTGGGATGTCCTGGCTGCCTTGTGAGCAGGTCTGCTCCGCTGGATGCCCCTGGGCCAAGCTGCAAACAGTCCCGAGCCAGGGGCTGCAGGCCTTGGCACCGAAGTGTCACGCTGCAGCACAGGGGAGTCCAGTATCCCATGTGTCCCAATTCCTCCCTGGCACTTGGTGGGACAGCTAGTTCATTTGTATTTTTTAGCTCCTCCTACTCTCTATGGAATAAAAAATGAGTCCAAGGGTCTGAGCCGAGGGCCAGATGGGAGGAATGCTCAGGTCGGTCATGGCTCCCCACAGGTGGCTGAGCCTCCCCCAGTATTTCCTCAAAGCTAAGACCTCCCAGTAGGGAGACACATCAACCATGAAGAGACAAGATTGTCAGTTATATCTGTGAGATGACATTAGTTATAATATGTATCTTAACCCAGAAGTGTTAAAATGAGAAGGAAAAAAAATCTTAGAATCAGTGGAAAACAGTCACGCCAACTCCTCAGACCTGCCTCCTCCTCCCTGCAGAATTCCTAGTTTCCCAGGAGGCACCTTTGTCCTCACACAAGTAATCTGGCACAGTCCAGCACATTCCGGATTATAGGAAAAAGTCTATTTCCTAGTACACAAGATATATTACCAATAAGGTGAGAAAATGAGTAGGGAAAAAACTATAGACGTATTTTAGGAAAAATACTTACAACACATTGACAAAAGGCTCTATCTTTAATATGTAAAGAATTCATAAGCAGTCCCAGCTGCTCCTCTTCCGATCCAGCTCTCTGCTTTGGTTTGGGAGAGCAGTAGAAGATGATCCAAGTCCTTAGGCCCCGCACCCATGTGGGAGACCAGGAAGAAGCTCCTGGCTTCGGATCGGTGCAGCTCCGGCCGTTGTGGCCATCTGGGGAGTGAACCATCGAATGGAAGACCTCTCTTGGTCTCTACCTCTCTCTGTAACTCTGTCTTTCAAATAAAATAAAATAAATAAAATCAATCTTTTAAAAAAGAACAAAAAAGAAAAGAACAACAAATAGATAAATAATACTTTATTTAAGGGGGAAGAACCACTATAACCCCAAAGTTGTACCTATGAAATTTATATTTATTAAATAAAAGCTTTCTATAAAAATATTTTATTTTATTTTTTAAAAAGATTTATTTATTTTACTGGAAAGTCACAGTTACACAGAGAGAGGACAGGCAGAGAGAGAGAGAGAGAAAGAGGTCTTCCACCCACTGGTTAACTCCCCAGATGGCCGCAACGGCCAGAGCTGCGCAGATCTGAAGCCAGTAGGCAGGAGATTCCTCTGGGTTTCCCACGTGGGTGCAGGGGCCCAAGGACTTGGGCCATCCTCTACTGCTTTCTCGGGCCATATCAGAGAGCTGTATCGGAAGTGGAGCAGCCAGATCTTGAACCAGCGCCCATACGGGATGCTGGCACCATAGGCGGCGGCTTTACCTGCTATGCCACAGCGCCAGCCCCAAAATACCTTATTTTAGAGAACAAATGTTGTTATGGGGGAAATAGGGATTACCAGTGTGTATGAAGTGGGTAATTAACTTTTTCTAAGGTCTGAAGGAAAGACAGATTTTTCAAAGATTTATTTATTTGTTTGAAAAAAAGAGTGACAGAGGGAGAGACAGAGAGATCATCCATCTGCTGGTTCACTCCCAAATGGCCCCAACAACTAGGTCTGGGTTAGGCTGAAGCCAGGTGCCTGGGACTCCCAAGTAGGGGTCAGGAGCCCAGGTACTTGGGCTATCTTCTGCTGCTTTCCCAGAATTAGCAGGGAGCTGGATCAGAAGTGGAGCAACTGGGACTCAAATCAGTGGGCTCTGGTGTCACAGGCAACAACTTAACCCACTGTGCCACAACACCAGTTTCAAAACAGACTTTTGATAAAAATTTCAGTATCTTATTTGTGATGTAGAGACAGAGAGCTCCATCTGCTGGTTCACTCCTCAAATGCCCACAACAGCTGGGACTAGGCCAGGCCAAGCCAGGAGACCAGAACTAAATTCAGGTCTCTAACACTGGTGCAGAGTTCAACGTGTATGAGCCTTAACCTGCTTCCTCTCAGGGTGTATGTCAGCAGAAGTTGGAGTCAGGAGTTGGAGCTGGGAGTAGTTCCCAAGTACTACAGTGGCGGACATGGGC